CGGGGATTCGAACCCGCGACCAACACATTACGAGTCAAGCGCCCTAACCACCTGGCCATGCCGGGCCCACTCACTAGGTGCATTAATCTTTGAAATATTGTACAGTTTTAGTGTTTAGACTGATGTAACAAAGGAAAATCATACACAGAACTCTAAATCTGTAATTTCTAAAGGGAGTGTAAAATGACAACGGTTGACTATGAAAGTAATCATTTAAACTTTCTAAAATGACGAAGATATGACAAAAACGAGTAGTTTGATATATACACTCATATTAAAATGAAGCTATAAAGCGTTTCGTACCTGCTCTAACTTATAATTCTTTCATTTTATGTCCCCTGGTGGCTCAACAGGCAAGCTTGGGGCTTATAATGCAAAAATTCGGTGTTTGATCCTCAAGATAGATAAAGTGCAGGTAACCCATTGTGCTAAATCATATAAACTCAAACTCTCACTTCACAGGTCGAGTCTTAACATAAGTTTGTTGTTTTTTTACTAATTACAAAACATTGTTTTTTCCCCTAGGGATTATCCTTGGTAAGCAAAGATTTTAATTAAATCCAAACAACTCACTTTAGTCATCAACTAGATCGTTTAGTATCTAAAACGGTATTTGTTTTTCATACGATCCAAGTTGAAAGTTCGTTGAAAGCATACCTAACTGAGCTGAAAAGTAGTACTAAAAGCTGTGCTTGATAAAACGAGAGGTAAAACAGAGATTGCAAGTAAAATAAAGATATACACAAAAGTTGAAAATCTGTTTCTTTTCTACCCAAAAGCACATGTGTATTTACCAACGCCATTATACAACACACTCGAGTTTAGATTAAAAGAAATTATATCATTTAAATTTGCACATTCACGACAAATTAATAGAAATAAGCAACCACTAATAACAACAGACTGGCGTAGAAGGAACATGAATATACATAATACACAACAGAGCAAGACAGAGGTGAGGAAAATGCAAAAATACATGGAAAAGATAGGAATACAGAAATATTTTTTTTATAAATATGAGGAAAAATAATAGCAATATACAAACGTATGCGTAGTAGGAGTAGAAGAGTTAAATGCGAGATATACAAAAAGGCTTAACAGGGGTAAACAGATAAATAAAAAATCACAAACAGAAAGGTGCATCAAAAGCTAAAAAGAGAAACATGGATATAAGTGTAGAAGAGAGAGAGAAGTAGGTGAGCCAAACTGACATAAAAATAACATAGGGATAAAGATTCAGAAGTAACAGACACAGAAATGAAAATGGATACAAATAACGTACTGAGAAAAGTGAAAAATACAAATATATATAATATACAGATACCCAAACAGATGATAGGTTAAAAAAAAGTAGTAAAAAGTAAGACAGATACACAAATATATAGGATTTCATGTAGAATTTCAAGTATAATAAAATATAAAGATATTGATAACAGAATAAAATCTACATATAGATCCAGATAGTGATAAAAGAAATAATTCGATACCCGTGGAGGGCACAGAACAGATAGATTAACGTGTAACTTTGTGCTTAACAGTAAACAAACAAAACCAAAACATACTTGTAGGTAGATTTGTACTATATATATTCATAGTTCAATAAGTACACAACGTATGTTAAATTTTAGTGCAACGAAATCAACAATGATTAAGTATATTTTCTTTCTAACACGATTTGCAGTAAAACTTTTACCTTTGTCTTTTCTTTTTTTTTTTTGTCTAAAGATATCTTCAGCATTGACCACGGTCTGTTGTTGATTGTGCCCTGGAGTAGGTGTGCTTTACAGAAAAGCAAGCATACACGACACACGCACTACGCATCTCTCCAGCAACTCACGTTCGAATCATTCGATTTACTTGGGGAGAAATCGGCAGATACTGGTCCACACTTTAATAAGGTGATCAATGCGCAAGGAAGGCTTCGATCATCTATGTGCAATAAACCTACTCCATCTGACTAGCCTAGCTTTCTTTTCCATGATAAAATAACAAGGATTTGGTCGGCCAAACATAAATAATACCATCAGTGGATAAAGAAAAACAATTTGTTACTGTGCCGTCTGAGTGTTTTTGTATAGAATTACTACAATAAAGCATTGATTTTATGACTTCAGTCGTAGAGTAACGTGTAAGTTTCAGTACTTTTGTTCAGCTACATGTATTATACTATTACATATCGTTAAAAAAATTTTTTTTGCATTGACAGTGGTGTATGAAAATTTTTTAATACCGTGAAAGACATAGAAGCTAATTTACCGTGATCTTCGGGTAGAAGGGTCTTTCATTACCATCACTTCGCTGATTTCTCCATATTTTATGAAGTATTCCCTCAGCGTCTCTGTGGGTGGAAACAAAATAGATCACTCTCCTAAACAAAATAGTCAAAATATCATTAAAAGACACAGCGTACATCAAACACGCGCTTTAATGGTTAGAGGAAAACAAAAGAGAAACGGATCACTAACCTGGTGCTGTTTGCCAGCTTAGACCACCAATAAACATTTTCCTGAAAGAGAGAAGGAGAAAGAGAATTAGGCGATGATTTTAGAACATTCCACTCTATGAACACAATGTCACGAGACACTCCACATCGCGCTGTCATTGCAATTTTACACAACACACGCTTTCACTGCTTAAACCTACCCGGGATCCTGAGACAAGTCGTTAGGACTAACGGAATTACTCTGAGGACTATCTGTCTCCATGCTACCTACAACTGAAAACTACAGCTACTCTACTAAAGATACTGCTGCTCGAGCCCAGCACGTGGAGACCTGCAAACACTAAAACACACGCTGAAACTATGGACCATTGAAGGAGGACGGCCGTTCTCCTTGCAACAGCCAACAACACATAGTTTGATTGACAACGGTCTATGGAATCTCATTGGTTGAGCTGCTGACGTAATCTCTATGAATTACTAACAGTGACGTCATTTTGAGCTCATAAACAGAGGCACGCCTCCACCTCAGTACACCATTAAGCCCCACTAGCGCCGCTAAGGGGACTATTTTTGAACTATGTTAATATCACCTTTACGAAAGAACGCTCCACGTCTTTTTGAAGAGTAGACCTTATCCAACTTGTAGATTTTGAAACTCAAAGTTAAAGTGCCTTACAATAATAAAGAGTAAACACGATAAGTTGCTATGACTAAGTAGTTTATATTTACTACTGAATACGATCTAAAAATTCAAGAGCAATTCCAGTTACAAAAGTTAATAAAAGCAACTTTCAAAACTTGTTTCTTTGCCGTTACTTGTTCATAATTAAGAAGCATTACATGTTTATTAGAGTATTTTAAACTACATCTAACTACGAAATATAAGGAAGATATCTTCTTAAACTGTAACAAATATAGGCTTAGGACAGCAAATCTTTAGTAATTATTAAAGAACTGCATGGATATGCAAACTAGTAAAGAAAATCAACACAGTTGCTAACATAGATAATACAGTATTAAAACAAATAAAAGTAAGCAAAAGGAAAATTGTACAAAAGAAATAAATAAGAAATAATTAGCTAAAAGCAAGTGAAAGGTTAATAACCAGTAACAACGGAAATATACAGTAGTTTTTAAATGAAAATGTAAATGACCTAAAATAAATATTACACCATTTCATAAAGAAAACGTGTGTAGTACTCAGTAGAATTGTAAAACAAAACTGCTTGTTACACATGAATGATATAATTAAAGAGAGAGGGACCTGCTGTTTATACATTTAAAATCCAAGTTTAAAATATAGTTTATCCAGAGAAAATTGTTGATTATACAATTTATAATAGACATTCTTAAAATAGTTTATAAATAATTGTTAATGGAGTAATTTAAAATAGACGTTCATAATATAGTTAATATAGAAAGAAATGTTTGTTGTAAAGTTAACATAATCTAGTTAAAATAGATGTTTGTAATGTAGTTAATAGGGAAAGAAATGTTAGTTGTAAAGTAAATATAAAATCTATTTAAAATAGATATTTGTAATGTAGTTAATAGGGAAAAATATGTTAGTTGTAAAGTAAATATAAAATCTATTTAAAATAGATGTTTGTAATGTAGTTAATAGGAAAAGATATGTTAGTTGTAAAGTAAATATAAAATCTATTTAAAATAGATGTTTGTAATGTAGTTAATAGAAAAGAAATGTTAGTTGTAAAGTTAACATATAATCTAGTTAAAATAGATGTTTGTAATGTAGTTAATAGAGAAAAAATGTTAGTTGTAAAGTTAACATATAATCTATTTAAAATAGATGTTTGTAATGTAGTTAATAGGGAAAGATATGTCAGTTGCAAAGTTAACATATAATTTTACAATATAGTTTATAAACAGAAAGCATAGTTGTTTGGAGTTATAATACAAGTTTATAAAACAATTCGTCGAGATTTATGTTTTAGAAAATGGATGGGAATTTTTTATTTAAAGTTTCAAATCATTCATCTAATAAGGCAAGAAATATTTATTACAAAGTTAAAAGAGAAGTTAGAATATATTTGATAGGAAGAAAATTGGTGATTATGTAGTAAAAAATATATATTTATAATTTGTTAATAATTAATAAAAAAGAACAGTAGACAGTAAGAATCCAAGCTCATATAGATATTAGTGGGCATATTGTCCAATATACAGTCAAAATGAAAGATAATGCAAAGTAAAACGTTCAACTTACGGTACGAATCAAGCGGAGACTGAATTGCAATGACACCTTAGTACTAAATGTATGAATCTGATGGATTCATGTAGCAGACATACCATAGACTCGTGTTTTATCTGTTGGTCGTGCAAACGAGTGATTAAATGGTTGTTTTCGGCATTTCTTAGAGAGGCCTTATTATGACAAGGTTCTAAGCTCTTTCTTCAGACCGGCATGGCCAGGTGGTTAAGGCACTCGACTCGCAATCTGAGGGTCGCGGGTTCGAATTCCCGTCACACCAAACATGCTCGCCCTTTTAGCCGTGGGGGCGTTATAATGTGACGGTCAATCCCACTATTCGTTGGTAAAAGAGTAGCCCAAGAGTTGGCGGTGGGTGGTGATGACTAGCTGCCTTCCCTCTAGTCTTACACTGCTAACTTAGGGACGGCTAGCGCAGATAGCCCTCGTGTAGCTTTGTGCGAAATTCAAAAACAAACAAACAATTTCTTCAGATGCAAGTATTAATACGGTTTCAATGGATGACCAAGAGCAAGAGTGTGAAAAGTCATGTGCATGAGTTATACAGTAGATCAGTGATAACAGCCATAAGCGTAAATACTTATTCCACACTCCCCAATCCTTCATTTTTGTGAAATTTTGAAATATTTTCCTGTCAAATCATGTCAGCTGGCTTCTGTAGAACTTTTTATGGTACATTTGAAGCTATTAAAACTCCAAAAGTGCCCGTTTTCAAATACAAATCTGTTTTTGAAATTGCTAAAGAAGTATAGTATCATTATAAAATGAAAAAATAGTGAAATTCCCATCTTAAGACAATTAAGACAACGCTTTGGTGAAGTCTTTGGACTATAATTTCTACGTTATAAAAGATAAAAGTACAAGTGAGATACCCTTGGATATCTTAGCCACAAATTTCAGTTCAATCACGTGGTGTATTGAACTGGAATTGTTCCCCCATCCCTTGTTTTTGGTCATATATCACATTCGTCCAGATGAGGTTGTGATTCGTGTTATTGTTGGTACTTCAGTAACATATTATCTTCGCCACTTGTTGAGGGTTACCACTGGTAAATCCTAGAATTTGTTTTATGTTTTCCAGGCCTGAAAAGTCCTGAAAAACCGGTAATAAAAGTGAGTCTTGGAAAAGTTCTGAAATTTCATTTTCTCCCTACTGGCTTTGGTGAGCTAAGATAAAAAAACAAAATATACATTAGCCTAATAACTTGCAATTTTTTACCCCATTCTGACACCTAAGAGATGCACATTGCAAGTATGGATATATTCTTGCTTTATCTATGTGTATTTATAAAAGGGCTATTACTATCTGTGCATTTGTCTTGTGATGTCATGATCTTGGTATGAAAGGGAGTGGGAGCCCCTTGTCTCCAGAACTTCACTTATTATAACTGCCCTCCTTATAGAGTCACTTTCAGAGAAGTGGTGGTCTTCACTGTATAACCTTGTAGTGGATTTGTTTGAGATTCTAATTTACTATTTCAGAATTATGACTGTTCTAGTTGTATAATGAAACAAATTAATATACAAAGAAAATGAAGGTCACTGTCAAACATAAGTTTGCAGAGGTTGTTCAAACGTGAATATTATGATAAAAACGAAAATTAGAACTGAATGTACAATTAAAATGCATTTATATTGGTTTTTAGTAGATATGAAGTTATTGTAATTTGTTTCCTTGAACCTGATTATAAAAATAAGTAAATGTCATTTTCACATTCCTTCCAGTGAAAAAAATTGCTCGTCAAACTCTTATTCAATGGCAATGACCTTGGAGTGCTTAAATGATAAGTTAATTTGCATAAGGTAAATAAGGATAACATTCTTTTAATACTTTTAACCTGGCGTTTTTGCAAATGCTAGAAAGTAAAACTTCAGTATTTTCATTTAAATTCTACTCCACAAGGTGGGTTGAAAATATTCCAGTAGCTAAGCATCCTATTGATATCTGGCAACATGTAAAGTTTCATACTGAACACTTGACAAAACCACCAAAGAGAAAGCAACCATCAAGTCAGTCCTTCTCTGTTTTTGAGAGATGATTGTAAACATAAACTGTTTCTTGTGAAATTAATTATATTTCTTTGTGTCAGTGGCATAACTGTTGGAACCTTTTCTTGAAATTTCCCATGGTATCATTTCTGAGCAAAACTCTGAAAGATCTACTGTTGGCCATATTTGGGAGATTTATTAAACCAGGGGTTTTGAAGAAAGCAGATACCATAGCAAAGCTAAGTAAGATAGACCCTTTTTATAAGAAGGATCATGTTGGAGCAAAACAAGCAGATATTGGATTTGATGCGAAACAACTGTTGAAGAGTATCATTGGAATGAAAGGAGTCATGAATTGCAAGTCTGAGAAACTAGTTGAAAGAAGCCCTATCAAGTACCCAATGGTACACTACTTGCAGAGTCTGGATCCTAAGTGCATCATTACTCAAGAGAATGAAACATGTGAAATACGGAGATACCTTGAAAATTTTATTCAACAACAGCTGGCTCACAGAAGTGAATAAGATAAAATCCTGAAAGAGCAGAAGATGGCAGTATAGCATTAGCTAAGGTTACCTCACGTTTCACATAAAGTGGAAATATTCTGTGTCATTAAATCATCACGGAAATAAAAGTTTCGAAAAAGTAGCAAAGTTAAGTAGCACTGGATCAAATTTGTGTTCAGTTAGGAAAAGTTCTCATCGTCGTCAGATAAACTCAACACATCATCAAGATAGTTATGTGCGTCCTCTTTTTTACAACATAAACATGTACAAATATTTATGAATTGCTTTACATGATACAGCATTGCCAGAAAAGGGTCATTCTCTCAGCTTCTTACTTAATAATACATAATTCTAATATTAGGTTATCACTGTATAATAGTCCATCTAATTTAATAAATACTAGTTATAGAATAAAGGAAACACGGGTTTGTTCATAGGACAAACATACTATATAAACAAACTACAGAACTGTAATTCTTGTTTTATATATGTTCAGTTTACCGACGAACAGGGTTTATACAATTGTCGACGTAGTAAGTAATGTGCTGTATATATCTGGGTGTTTGCGTTTTTGTTAAATGTTGCATTATTTTCAGAAAGTAAGACGTGTAAGCAACAAGAGGCGAAATGCTATATATATCACTGGAATATCAACAACCCGCTTGAAGCACGACC